CAGAGGCTTGAAATGAGAATAGGAATTGTACAAGAATGGGCTTGTACTACATCCAAGGATTTACGTAACTTCCAAAGCTGGATTGTAGAACTCTCAAAATAAAAGGCATTTCTCGCAGCTTCCTTCAAGAAGCGATTATGTTTTATTACCGCACTTTGATTCAACCTAAATTTGAATCTTAACTTCATACTTACGTACGTACTTACAGAGGTTGGACAAAAATATGGAAACACCTTTAAAAAAACATGTTTCTTTGCTTAATATGGTGTAGGAAACCCGTTGGCATGAAAAACAGCTTGCAGTCTTCTCGGAATGGATAAATACAGTTCCTGTATGTTTGCCAAGGGAATATTATACCATTCTTCCTGCAAAAAACGGGGTGGCAAGTTCAGATAACGATGTTGGCGGTGGATAACGAGAACGCACTTTTCGTTCCAATGTAGACCACAAAAGTTCGATAATATTCAGGTCTGGTGACTGTGGTGGCCAGGGGAGATGGGACAACTCATCCTCGTGCTCAGAAAACCAGTCCTGGGCAATGTGAGCTGTGTGAACAGGGGCTTTGTCGTCTTGGAAGACACCATCACCATCGGGGAACAAAGTTTGTACCATGGGATGAACTTGATCGGCCAAAATGTTCACATAAGTCTTGGCAGTCATGTGCCCTGACACAGTTATCATGGGGCTAGCAGAGAACCACGATATGGCTGCCCAAACCATAACAGAACCCCCGCCATGTTTCACTCTTGGCAACAAGCAGTCTGTATTATAGGCTAGACATGGCGTTCTCCAGACGTAAACTCGGCCAGAAGTGGGAAACAATGTGAAAGAAGACTCGTCAGACCATATTACTCGCTTCGACTGCTCTATAATCCAGGCTTTATGACTTAAACACCACCTTTTCCTGTTACGGGCATTAGCATCACTGATAAGTGGCTTCTCAATTGCAGCACGGCCAGCAATTCCCTGTTTATGAAGCTCCCTTCTAATTGTTTTGGTACTCACAGGGTTCGGTAACACAACATTCATTTCAGCAGTAACTTTTGCAGCTGTGGTCTTCTTATTTTTCGTCACAATTGCCCTTAATGACCGTCTGTCACGATCACTCAGGACACACTTTCGTCCGCGCTATGATTTAGCAGATGATGTTTTTCCGCTTTTCAAATATGCGGAATAAATCTTCGATACAGTACCTCTTGAAACACTAAACACCTCGGCTACCTTGCTTACGGAATCACATACCATACGTGCTCCAACAATTTGCCCACGTTCGAAGTCTGTTAACTCTGACATAATGTAATGACAACCTCACATAACAGTACTCCGACAACAACTGAACTGTTTAGCACATTTACGAAGTTGTATAGGTGGCGTCAGTAGTCAAAAACGCCAGCGCCACCTACATATTTCATTAAAATCAATCTTTCTTTTCAAACATGCATTTCACAAGGTGTTTCCATATTTTTGTCCATCCACAGTATATATATATATATCATAACTCAAGATCGAATAGCTGTAGAACGTTGCATTTTTGCATATGGGACTATAACTGCTATAACAGAACATGTAGTTGCCCACTTCCCTTTTTCGTTGCAATCGGCTGCTCCAATCGTATATAAATATATATATATTCCCACTCTGCTACCTGGATATATGTTGGTCAATTGAGCATGTTTTGTTTAAAAGTGATTGAATTATGAAGTTTTTATGTTCTGGTTAAATGTTTTTTTTGCGTTTAGTTAATCTGCATGCAATAGTTTGTAGAACTATCAACAATTTAAGTTTAAGTCGGGATTTAGGTCTAACGAACCGCTACTTGTTAACATTTGAAACTCAATGGAATAGTGAATTAAGTCAGTTCAATGTCTTTTTGCCACCTTCAATATCTTTTTACCGAATAAGACGAAAAGTATATTTTCAATTTTGTACACTGAAACAAAATCTACCTTCTTGCCAGGAGGTAGATTGTAAGAAGATAAAGCCTTATTGTTTATTGCCGAATTGCTTGTTTTTGCGTTTGTAAGCAAAAACATGATATTTCTACATATTTCTACTGATTTCAATAAAATATACTAGAGGAAATAAGTTTAAATGAAATGCAACAAAAATTGTATATAATTTAATAGGCCATACAAGGAAGTCATGCGGTGACCACATCACTTTTTATTATTATTTTTTCAAATTTTGGTTTTTAGGCCTATAGGCCTAAGTGAGCCTTTTACGAGATTATGGTCATTTTAGCGTGCATTAAACCGGAATTCAAATGTGAAAAATTACATTTAAACTTCATACAATTTCTGAAATAATAATATGGCGCAGGATCTTTGACAGGGATCATATGAAAACAGGTCATCTAAGTAAAGCTTCAATAAGTGCGGAAAATTAAAAAAAAAATTAATAATCTATGATGATTAAAGGAAAAAGAAAGATTGTGAGATAAAAAAACAGTATGCTTTATAGCTCCAAGGTTATCGTTACGGTGCCCAAATATTTTTCAAAGACACAAAAGTATTTTATCATAATTATTCAATTTCTCATACACAACGCATCTAATAGGATCTTAATAAATTCATTATTATATGTCATAGATATTTTATAATGTATTATAATTTTATCTGATAAAATAAAATATAGAAAATTAAATATCACGTGCAAATTTATCTGCGTTTTGCAGTTCATATGTAAAACTACATAGTATAGCTCAAAAGCATCTGTGCTACAAATTCTAAAGAACGATGGTATCATGAACAACAAAAGAGCGATTCAATAAAAATCTGATACGCCGCAATACGCATTATATATCAGTCATAAAATAAATTATTCATCATCTCTTAGACTGGAAACGGGAAAAAGTAGTCTAACAATTGTATTTTTACTTACACATTTAGTTGTCCATATTAAAGTCGTGGTAAAAATTAGAAGGCAAAACGGCTGAGTTTGAAAATTCTTAAAGCTCCCCAACACTGCTCTTAATCATGCAAGTTATGCTATGCTCTGTCAATATGAAACAAAATATATATAAATAATGTATCTTTGCATTACTATTAATAGTAATTAGTATCTTTAAATTACTATTAATAGTAATCTTTAAGTTACTATTAATAGTAATTTAAAGATACATTATTTATATACTAGGTGACAGATATATATATATATTAGAAATGTTATCAAAAGAAACCTTCATCGTCAGTAACAGTATATAAGGTTTATGTTAAGTGTTTATTTGATTTTACTAAAGTATTAAATTATATTATTCAATTATGGTAAAGCAATCTAAAGCTCTGTAGTTAAGGATAGGAATACTATAGCAGTGGGCTCAGAAGAAAACTAATTAACACTTCAGATTAAGAAGAAAAAGAAGAGAAAATATTGTGGAACTGGACAAATGAATAACAAGAAATAGAATCCACATGACCTTCCGACATTTGACTGTTCCAGATACTCAACCACGGGTCAAAACTTTTACGAAAGGAATTCCAGTGTTTTTCTTTCTTTTCTACTATAATAATCTCATTACTAATTAAGGCTGGAAGACCTTCAAGGCTTAGATAATGTCATCTGAAGCAAGAAACGTGTTTAAAGGACTTTGCAAAGATTGAAATCTAAGCATAACACTTTCAAATAAATATTTAAGATTTAATCCTTTGATTAAAATCTTTATATTTAAGATAAAATATAATTAAAATAAATGACGGATTTAAGATGAAGTTATGCGAATCGCATGGGCGCGTCATAAAGTGTTTTTGATGTAAAGTTTGCACTTGTTTTCAGGTTGGGCTGAAAGCTTACGGTTAGATCATATTATAACACGCTTTAAGAAATAATAATTTATATATTAAGATACAGGATCTTGCATCATCACAAGAAGTACTGCATATACGAAACATACGATTTCACATATAAACATAAACACAAAAATATTTAAAAAACCTTGAAGCTATGATAAATCAAGAATGAATTCTTTAATTAAATCAACTATTTCAGTACGTTATTTATTAGTATGTTCCCTTACATCATGTAGCTAATGCTAGTAAGATATGCAAACTTCTATTCACTAGAACTCATTTACTTGAAATGATAAATCAAAAGACTTCAACAAAATTCCTCTTTCCTTAGAAAAGATCTATTCCCATCAGAATAGGATTTCCTTTTAATAGTCTTTCTGCAGACTAGCTTTGTTTATCTTTCGTAAAGATAATTCTGAGATTAAATGGGAAATCCTCTGTTTCAGCTCCGTAATCCTTTTCTTCTTAACGGAAATTTCTCAACTTTCTTCCGTACGTTCGTGTTTCAAGAAAGAGTGATTGATGGAGAAGCTAATTAATACCCAATTTACTTAAAGTAAACTCTTCGACGTATTCTTAATTTGGAGCTAGGGACAACTTTAAGCGTAATTTACTGTATAGTCCTTTGTTTTTTTTACCTGCTGGATGTCAAGAACATTCCTATGGAAGTCAAAGAGAAAGTAGCAGTTATAAGCTTTTGCTTTCATATGTAAACTTGCGTGGTCTGATAACTGGCCGGAAAAATGATATATGATTCGATACATATTTACTCGGTAAAATGATAAATTATTTTACTACGTACTTTATATTTCGTTTCTTTTTTGTATTTAGAATAATAATTGATATGCATAATTTACTTAAATACTGTTTACAATGCAAATGATACCTTTTGAAGTGTGTACAAATGATAAAATATTAGATCGTTAGTGAGTTCCCTTTTGTAAAGCAAAATCGTGTGTCGAATTCCAGAAGTATAAAAATTCTATAGAAATGTGAGAAAATGAAAAATATCTTGATGGATGCAAACAAAATTACATGTTTCTCGGAAGTGATTGGAGTGTTTTTGCAAGAATGTACGGGAAATGTAATGAATATATAATAGCGTAATTAAGCTTTGATTTCTGGAATGTTATGTGATTTAGTTTTCTTCTTTGAATTCATGTTATATAGAATAATTTATTTATACTTATCAATATCAAATTATTTTATTACTAGGTAATGAAAATTTACGGGAACGATACAAGCAAGATACGAAAATGTCGTTTGTGAAGAAGGCCATCTACACCATGGCGTATGGTTTGCATGATATGCAAAAAGCAAAGTGCAACGATTCCTCTGTGGGTCTTTGTCCTGAAATGCTACCTCTTAACGGGTCTCTTTTCCTTCAGTACCTCCTTAATGTTAGTTTCGTTTGGGGAAATGAGACAGTTAAGTTCGACCAAAATGGAGATCCTCCAGGGAGGTCAGTAATTTTTTTTTATATTTCTTTTAAATGTTTATTTCAGAAATTTAAAGAATTTTAATTGTTTCTTGAGAAAACTCACTCGCAGAGAACTTAAATGAAATAAAATAAGCAAAACCAAATTTCAGTGATTTTAACTGTCGCATAATTTAAGAGACGAAAGAATAACATTGAAGTATAAAATTAAATGAATCATTTTGACTAACTTTATCATTTTGACAAAATTTTATTATATGCTAGCATAATATTCCAACATCCGTTCCGAGAATTTTAATATAAATTAAAGAATAAAGAAATCTTGGTCCACCGTTATTAGGTAATATAATTAATTTATATAAAGTTTACATTTCAATTGCTTATGTAGTTATTGTAAACCGCTTTGTAATCCAGAACATAGTTTTACTAATGGTAATTATAGAACTACATTCGTAAAATATACAAATATTGTTTTGAGTTTCATAATGGCACTAGATAGAGAACAAATTGTTTAATATAGAAGTCCTGTCGGTGTCAAGAAATAGTATAGTTAATATGCATCACTAGACTTAGGTAGTTTTTTTTTTTTTTTTTTTTTTTTTTTTTTTTTTTGGCCACCAACCGGGATAGTGGCTAGTGAACGTGACTACCGTACCGAAGTGGCTCGTATTCGCATCCTGGAAAGGCGCTGATGTGTGTAAAATATAGAGTCTGTGGGGTATGGAGGTACTCAAAATATTCGGCGAGCCGAAAGTCTTCTCAAGAGGCTAGTGGTAGGGGAAGAGGGGTGGAAAACCCTCCGACTTGCCCTCCGGTGTGCTGTCCTTCAAACTGCGGAAAAACTTCAAACTTCAAACTGCGGGCGGAACTGAGCTAATTCGTACTGGCACCTATATGGTGCCCAAAGATCTTGCCATAAACAGGCGTAATCTTGACTCCTTGCCATGATAAATTTTATGGACTTGCTCTGATTCAGACAAGCAAGATTAGTAGCAACGACAATAATAGAATTTTTTTCATTAACCTTTGAACTGGACACAAGATTTTAAAAACATTTCTCATCAAAGTTGTTGCAGAGTAAAATAAATAAATTATTTTTTATTGCCAATTCTATAAATTATTGGTACATGCATTTCTTAAAATCGAAACATCTAGCAATTCAGAATTGTATTTAATTATTCAAAATGAGTATCTTAAATATCACTCCAAGGCTTTATACTGTTGTGAGTTGCGAATTAATTTTCTTAGAGAAAAAATATGTAAGTGGGAATATTTTAATTACTTAAAGTTTATTTACATTTCTTGAAATGTTTTATTGAGGAAACAAAACAGTTTTGTACAGGAGCTTATGAAAAGGATTTTGATATATCTGTCATGTAGAAAGATTCTAAAATACACCTATCTCTTATATATTATCTTTCATATTAAATAAGAGCTATTCTGAAATTACTGTTAAGTTCAAAAAACTATTTGAACTGAAAAAATGCTTAACTGAAATGTCACATTTTGAATATAATATAATTTTCTAAACATTAATCTACTGAGTGAAACTTCTCAATATTTCCATTTTGGTTTTAAAAATTTAATGTATTGCAGTTCACGTTTCGCGATTAAACTAATTATATTTAAGTAATTATATGAACTTCTCTAAAAGGCATGAACCACTTTTTTTAAAGCAGAGCCTTTACAAATGTGCTTTTCATTGCTGTTCGTTTTTACGACAGTTCTATAATTCTGGAGGACAGAAGAGCTTAATTAAGGAAGATTACTTAAAGATTACTGAGTTAAAAACTGCTTCGTCGCAAGATTGTATAGGAGGCTATCGAACAGCGCGTACAAAATCAATGCAATAAGGCATTTGATAATTTAGTAGTCAGACCACTACTGTGTAAATTCTCTGACACAAATAAAATTAAATGAATTGTTAGATTGCAAAAGCACCTGAAAGTGCTGGATCTCTCTGTACCATTTTGTTATAAAAACAAAATGAAGTTTCATAACAAAATGGTAGAGAAATAATCAGCACGGTTAGTTCATATTCCTTATTGATGAATGCAAATTTAAATTGCTTCTTTTCAAATCCGGATAAATTACTAACTTCATATCGAGTTTAAATTACATTTTTATTTATTAATTTCTTTTTTTTTAAATACTCACATAGCAAACGACTGTAATAAAACTCTGACGAAACTAAAACACGATTCCGTTTAAACTAAACTAGCATGTTAGTTGACAGAATGAATTAGAAATGCGTGTTTAAGTAATATACGATATGAAGTAAATTAAGTAAATATATGCCCTGCAATCTGCTTCCAAAGCAAAAGAAACATCTACTGCATCCGTCAGAAAATATGATATGCCATCCAAAAATCACACATTATATGCAAAACTCGAACACACTTGATGAAAGTTAGTCAGTAAGTAGCAGATGTAACATACGCTTTAAACAGTGATTTTGAATGAAATATGACTGCAACTTAAAATTCTTTTGCAATTTGTTTACAAGGCAAGAAAACGCAGCAGAATAATCACGAAATTTGAAATAGAAAAGACAGCTTTCTTAAAGCCGTTGAAATTAAAAATTTAATTTCGGTGCAGAAATATGCAAATGAACTACTTCGAAGTATTTCGAATCAAATTCAAGTGTCATTTACAAATTTGTGTAAAATTGGTCAGTTACAAATAGGAAGAGAATTAAGTGGAGAATAGGAAATTTGTTGAGGCAGAAAACAGTAAACTGTTTAAACTCCTTTCTCGTTTTACTGAAATTCGTGTGAATTCTCGAATTTGGTTAGAATATAAGAAAAGAACAAAAATTAAAATCTAATTGTTAACAAATTAATAAAACTGTCACAATCTGTGACCTCATAACGGTTCCGGTTCTAATATTAAAGTATGAATGGAACTGAATTAAAAAACTGGAAAGTTAGATTTATGTAATATCTAGAGTTAAATAAAAAATATTTTTTTATTATTCATTAAATTAGGTTTAGAAGTAAAATGTATATGAATTCAAAGCGCATTATATTTTTCAATTTTTATAATACAGCAAACGTTTTCTTATAATTTTCCACAATGAGAAAAGGTTCCAATAAATAATCTCACATTATTTAAACCTTAACCTTAAATTGCACCTTAGAATCGGCCATAGCATATCCAGTCAACAATCGCATTTAATCTTAATTTTAATTTCAACTTAGTGGATCTGGCGTTAAAGAGATCTTGCATTTTTTACTCACATAATTATCTAAAAACTTGTGCTGATATTCTAAATAAGTCAGGAGTAATATTTAATACTAAATCATTGCAGTTCTACCTAGATAAAAATTAAGTTCTTTACACTTCACAGATATTGCATATCTAGTACCAGTTCTGCTTATCTGCTTTGCTTTTCTACACGCGTTTTCTACACGTACACTTTTAGAATGTTCTGGAAATATTTCAAGCGAACTGGATTGGCTGACGTCATTTCTTGGAAGCTCCGCCTTTCCATAGGCTATAAACGACTCGAAAAAGTATATCGGGGCTTTTTCTTAAATATCACGATGCAGTAAACTTCATACAAAAAGTTATTACTAATTCTTTTATTTACTTCTGATATCTGATTTTTGTAACTACTATTTTCTCCTGAATAATAAATAATGGATCCTTGTTTTTTAAACTTATCGTCTGATTATTTAAGCTACGACTACATTTATGATTCTTCGGCATTCTATTTATTCCGGACAAAAGCTGGTACATATATATATGTCATATTTTGGTAGTTATATATATATATGTCATATTTGGTTTCTGACAGAAAAAAAGCTATTCTGTTAGTCTTTGTTCATTATGCCGAGATTTTCACTATAAGGATTACTTTAAAGTTTTTTAAACAAAGGGCAAAGAATTTGACATCTTGTTAAAGCTAACTACCGCCTGAAACCCTTTTCTTGACAGCTCTTCAACGGCTTTACAGAATTCCACGTCACGAGTGGATGTCTTATAAACTGAATCGTCTGGTATTCGGTATAAATTGAAATTTCTTCACAGCGCTATGGTGCATAAATTGTTTAAATTTATATTTGAAAACTTTTGAAGGAACAATGAGTTATTATAATATTAATTCTATTATTTATACAGTTTTATAATTTCAACATTTTTAGAAAATGAATAACGCTCAAGTATTCTGTTTATTCAAAATCATTTTCATTCTACTGAATAATATCAATGCAAATAATATTCGTTAATATTTTGTTTCATCTGTTGTTAAGTTAGTTAAATTAAAATCTAAATATAAATGCTTAAAATTCGGTTTTCGATGTAGTAGGAACAATTTGGATTGCAGACAGATGAAAATATTTTCAGATGTAACATAGCCATCGTATGACTTCGACAAAACAAAATGTTTGGCAACTATAATAAAGCATGTTGCAATGTTGAAATCGTGCATACAAAAGACTGTCAGCTTACCCACCATTGTAGCAAAAATGGCAATACTGTGATACATAAATATATATTGTTACGGTTTTTGTATTTAACTAGGTATTTTTAAATAAAGTTGTTTCATTTCCCCGTGCAATGCAGCACGACGCTTATTTAAAGAGAAAGCTACGCCGAAAAAATTAAAAATAGAGTAGCACACTCATTTAATAAATGGATATCTCGTAATTGTACACTTTTGCTTATCGAGAAAATACCAGAAAATTCTCGTGAATTTAAAAACCTTATATAAGCGGCATGAAAACACCTCAATTTAGTTGTTTTATGAGTTTTATTTAGAAAACTGCTTTGTTGAATGTGGCGAATTCGTGTTAAAATCGGATTAGCTTTCTCTACACTTCTATTTTGACTTAGTTCTATTGAACGTTTTTAGTAGTTTAAAAGATATCTACTGTGAGATATTAGAATATTGTACGAATATATGAGGAACTTTAAGCATTTTTTTGTGATAATAATAAATTTTATTCACTTTTCATCGGACTTCTGCATTCAATTCATAACAAACCCGTACGCACGCAACAATATATATTTGTAATAATAAA